CCCCAAAACCCCAAAACCCCAAAACCCCTTTTTAAATTTATCAAATTGAATGATTCAATAAATTCTAACCAAGCTTCAAGTTCACAAGGCTAGAGATCCCGCTAGAGATCGAACAAAATAACTGTCTGAGATGAATATATGGAGACAGAAAGCTAAACTAGATATGGACAAAGTATCTAACAATATCTGTCACTTTTACAGGGTTTCTCTGAAGGAAATGCCCTTAGAATTTTGGCGTGATGGCATGAAATAGATTAACATCAGACATATGAGCAGTAGAGAAGGAAGTAGAGATCTATTATAATGAAGAATGAGCAATATGACAAATATATGCAAGTCTGGGGTCTTGAGAACAGAATAGGAGTGCTCAGTATCTTGGCATTTTTGAGATGTCAAAATTTGGTTTGATAAAGTAATAATATTGATCCAATAAGATATTTACAAATTCAAGAATTTTGAAGCTGGTAGGATTCTTATGCAGAAGATTAAACCGCACAAGTGTTCGAAAAAGTAGATCTTACATCATTACATGTTTGGATTATTTTTGAAAATAATAGATCAAGATTCTAAAACTGGTGGGTTAGATATAGTAGAGCAGAAATGCTTAAATAACTTCAGAATTAATAATTAATTAAAAATCCAAATGAAAATTGCTTCCGGAATTGTATTGTGTTTGGCTCTTGCCATGTCAAGCGCCTTCAAAATCAGGTAAGCAATACTTCCAATATTGCCACAATACTCTCAATGTAGCCGAGGCCGCATAGGACTTTCAGTGGATAGCTTTGTTTCCATATTGATTCATCATTAATGCCAAATATCTAATCTGGTTTAGACAAGGAAATATTGCCGCTGATATTGGTGCTGGTGTTGCAGCTGCCAACCAAGCCATCACTGACAGTGAAGAATTCTTCAACGATGCTGTCCACGGCGCTCAAGCTACTATGGAGAACTTTGCTGGACAAGCTGTGAATGGTGCAGGAGCCCTCGCTGGTATGATGGCTGGTGGAGCCCCCGCTGGTGGAGCCCCCGCTGGTGGAGCTCCTGCTGATGGAGCCAGACTTCAGCAGACTGCTGCTGATGCTGCCAACGTTGCCACTGCTGATGCTAGCACTCTCGCCACTGATGCTACTACCGTTGCTACTGATGCTGCCAACGTAGCTGCCGATATCGGATCTCAGTGGGTCAACACAGCTACTAACTTCCTAGGAGGACTCGCAGGTACCAATGGTGGTGCAAGACTCCAACAAGGAAACCTCGCTAATGACATCAACGCTTTAAACCAAGCCGCTCTCGGTGCTCTTCATGATACTAATCAAGCTTTTGATGATGCTCTCGACCAGAGTGAAATGATTGCTAACAACGTCATTTCAACCTCCGAACAAGCTTTCGGAGCTAATGGAGCCACCGTTGCTAACCCAGACAGACTCCAGCAAGACGCACAGACTGTGGCTGAAGATGCTACAGATGTTGCTGATGATGTAGCTGAAGCCACTAACGACGGAATTCAAGCTACAGATGACTTAACTCAGCAAGGCATCAGAGCCTTTTACAGATGGTTCGCTAACAACAATGGAGGAGAAAGAAGACTTCAAAGATTGCACTAAATTGGAGGTTCGAAGTAGTAATTTATTGAGAAAACTTCAGGATGGTTAGATATAAATAATTGATAAAAAATTAAAAAGACCAACTCAATTTCTATCAGATACTCCGGGGTTTTGGGGTTTTGGGGTTTTGGGGTTTTGGGGTTTTGGGG